GTTTCCTAAAGTGTTGAAATTCTGTCGCTCAGGCAATTCTATACCAAATTTTAGCTTTTTGGGTGGTTTTACTTATTGCAGTGTTCCTCTTTTCCCTGAAATTCGATTACAAAGGTTCTAAACCTCCTTTCCAGCCAGACGCAAAAAGAACATTGATAATAATATATATTTGAGTGCATAGACCAACAAAACGTATGTATAGCACAAGTCAATTACAAATTAACAATTAAAAATTAAAAAAAACTAACTAGCGGTGTATAACAGATTTTGTTTGAACAATTTTATAGTTTCACAGACTTTTAAATAATTAGGTAGTTTGTTATAAATTTGTACGCCTAGAACCCATGGGAGTTCGCGGTTCGTTTTCTTCGAGGTTTTCTTTTAAAAGTGGGGGATTTGAAAAAGTGGAGCAGTGGTACTTTCCAGCTTGAGTGGGTTCTCGAAATGTAGACCCGAAAATTTGGTTGTGGAAATATCTTGCAGTGTTGTCCTCTATTTGTAGAGCGACAGAGATAATGGTTTTTTGTTGGTGATAAAATACTTATTTATTATACAAGATGAGTGAAAAATGTTAACTTTCACGAGATGGTTAGTTTCCCATTATCGTCGGGTATAATACAAAACTTTATTTTATAGCAGAAGCATAAATCATTGTAATAATTTATTTAGGGACGTCAAAAATAGTAAGCTTAGGTTCTTCCGTCGTGATCGTTTCTATAGAAACAGAATTTACATATATTCTGGTCGTCATTTTATAACGTGCATTTGAAATAAGAATGACAGATGTCACTAGAATGCACAATCATTTGTTTCACTTTGGTTTTGCTTGCATTTAGAACAAGTGAAGCTTCCTTGAACCAAGCACTAAGCTTATGAAAGTAATTGTTGCACAAGTTTTGGAGCAATTTCTGGTCCTTATGAGACACCAGCATTTAAAACTCAAACCGTTTGTATTGACGCGAAATAAACCCATAATGGTAATCATCGCAATCTCACGCTCTCCCACTTCTTTCGCTATTAATTCTCACACACCAGAAAAACCGAAAAGAAATTCTTCTCTGAACGTAATGACCTCCGCTCACAAATTTTTTGTTGTTGTCGATTATTAATTATCGCTAGACATACCTCCGTTCACGTTCGCTGTGAAGCGCTAAATGAGTAAATAGGTTTCACAATGGTAGGGAATGCAATCCCGCAGCAACATCTCAATCCCGGTATTTGCGGGATTGTTAGATGTTAATCCCGCGGATCCCGGTATTTGCGGGATCTCGCAAAACTTTAAATAAATTGGCAAATAAGCAATTCTGTGCGGTTAACTTCTGTATTAAAATAAATCGCTAATTATCACAATATTTAACAAAAAAGTACCTTCGGCATAACTTAGAACTCAAAAAAACCTTACCTGTAAAGCACAAAAAGTCTTCTAAAGTGCCTCAAAAATCATAGTACATTTTTAACGAAAAAGGTTTAACAATTATTTAAAAAATAATTCCGTTATCAGTTTTATTAACAAAGTAAACAGAGTCGTCCCCTTGGTCGACAAATTCCTCAATCCCGCAAATCCCGCGGGATCCCGCTCCATTTATGTGCGGGATTAATCTCGCAAAAATGCTGCGGGATCCCGGTATTTCGGGATCCCGCAATCCCGGTATTGCATTCCCTAGTTTCTAGTCTATAACTTTTGATTGAGAAGTCTGATCGAAAAAGTACGAATTGTTTTGGATTCTACGCACCAAAATTAATAAGAAAAAGTGTTTTCCCGAGAAATTTTGGTGCAGTCGATTTTTGGTAAAAAAGGAAGGTTATACACTGCCTTTTTTTGAGCCCCGAAAAAAAAATTGTCTCAGATCGACCCGGAAAAAAATTTTCTTATAGAATGTGGCCTGTAGAATCCATAATTTCAAACAGTTCCAAGATTGGGCTACTAGTTCAAAAGTTACAGCCCTTTGAATTTTCTTTCGAAATTGGTTTCTAGTCTATAACTTTTGATTGAGAAGTCTGATCGAAAAAGTACGAATTGTTTTGGATTCTACGCACCAAAATTAATAAGAAAAAGTGTTTTCCCGAGAAATTTTGGTGCAGTCGATTTTTGGTAAAAAAGGAAGGTTATACACTGCCTTTTTTTGAGGCCCCAAAAAAAATTGTCTCAGATCGACCCGGAAAAAATTTTCTTATAGAATGTGGCCTGTAGAATCCATAATTTCAAACAGTTCCAAGATTGGGCTACTAGTTCAAAAGTTACAGCCCTTTGAATTTTCTTTCGAAATTGGTTTTAGTCTATAACTTTTGATTGAGAAGTCTGATCGAAAAAGTACGAATTGTTTTGGATTCTACGCACCAAAATTAATAAGAAAAAGTGCTTTCCCGAGAAATTTTGCTGCAGTCGATTTTTGCTAAAAAAGCGAGTAAAAAAGCCTTTTTTGAGGCCCTCAAAAAAAATTGTCTCAGATCGACCCGGAAAAAAAATTTTCTTATAGAATGTGACCTGTAGAATCTATAATTTCAAACAGTTCCAAGATTGGGCTACTAGTACAAAAGTTACAGCCCTTTGAATTTTCTTTCGTAATTGGTTTCTGCAATGGCAAAGTGACCATTTGTTACAAAGTTTAGTTTAGATTTTAGTTGATTACAAGTTGGGGAATTGACCAACAGCATTAAAGCAAGTATTACGGTCGTGCATATTTTTTTATCTTTATCGTAACGAACATCTTAGGCCAGTCATTTTAAACATCGAAGGTCCTTTAGGCGGTATTTTGCACGCAAAATAACCAAAACTTTGAATTTGCACTTTTTGAAACAAATGACCATCATTTGAATGAGCGTAACTTGGGATCCATTAGACCTACAGAGCTCAGGTTGAACTCAAATTGTACCACATTTTGTCTACTTTAAAAGTGTTATTCCAACCTACAACGCTAGGATGTACCGTTTCAAAGTTATAAGCGAAAAACCGCAAGAAATCCGAAAATTTCGAGCACCCCGAAGTTAGCACAGGTCTTTCGAAGCTGCAAACACTAGTTTTATCGACCCTAACAACCTGCCAAATATTCAGAATTACCGGATTTTTTGCGATGTTTGCCTTTTTTATTGTCTAAGATGACTGGCCTTTGCATCTTCAATGTGGAATATCATGAAAATGAACGACTAAATATAGAAAAAGCTAGAGCTTCAAATTTAGGAAAGACAAATTTGTCCATTGATGTCTATATTTGTTTGTCTACTCGAACCTAAAACTGAGTGTTTTAGCCTATCCAAAAATGGCTCGGTATTAAGTACTATAGTTCAAAAATAAACACAAAAATACGCACTTTTAGGTTAAATTAATAGCATATTTTTAGTCAAAACGCATAAAACTTGTGCATAGGTGCACAAATCGTCGTTTCGATGAACAAATCAGAATATTTTTATTTTCTCCGAAACAAAAGACGGCCAGAATTCGATATTGTATTGTACAATATACCGCAAAACAGGGTGAATATGGTCCTTTTTTATGGTTTTTTGAGATCAATACACCTTTAGAGAACAAGGGGCAACAAAAGTTGAAAAGTTGGAATTCATTCTGTTTTCGTTTAATAAAAACGTTACTGTTCTCCTGTGTCGTATACTCAATCGCTACAACTGTAACAATAATATACAATGCGGGTTTTATTTTGAGTTGTAAGGGTGAATCTTATGCACTGTAACTTTCATATGCCCTTGAAATATTCTTTTAAATGGCTGTCACTAGTCATCCTCTAATTGGTGTCAATAGGGACAAGTATAAAGATTTTACATCAATCACAATTCAACCTTTCTATGAGGTGTATTGGGATAAATTAAAAAAAAATAGTAGTAATTAGAGGAGATTACGAGGGCAAATAACAAAATAATATCTAAAGCAGTCTTATGGGTAAATATAACCCAGTAATCAAACTTTCTTATATGTTATTCAACCAATACCTACATTAAAGACTTGTGAAAGAGAACCTAATCACCTTTTTGAGCTCCTTAACTTTGCTGCGCTTCTTTCTTATTTCCTTCTTTTTTTCTCCTTTTTGCTGTTGCAATTGTTTCTCTCCCACATACCGTAGACTCCTCCACCTATACTCTTGACCAGATTCTTCTCCGTCCACCACGTCATTCTCATAAGGATCCATATCCTCAAGTGCAACACTACGACCGGGTCACTTTTAGAATTTAAACATTTCCTTAAAAGGGTGTCATTTACTAGAACTCTGTCATTTTGTTCATTTAATATAGGTATATCTTGGCTTTATGTCAGGAGTTGGGGATACTTATTAAAACACAAACCCATTGTCAATAGTAGATATTTTTTAAGAGTAAACAAGCTTATATTTATAATACAGTCGAGTCTTAAAACAGTACCCGATAAAGATTAAAATTTGAAAATGTTAAGAATAAGATTCGTTTTGAGCGAAATTGTCACTAAACTTTATTTACATAACAATTCAATAAGCTTGTAGGCGCAAACAGCCTTTACAACTTTTACACATAAACTTCATTCAATCTTATGTTCAGTTCGTCATTTGAATAAATATTAATTCATCGGTAAATATTTAACAACAATGGTAACGGAGTGAAGTTGATATGTAAAAAAATCGCAGCGTAATTTTGGCGGATCTTATATGTTTATTGTTTAATCGAGTGGGTGTATGTACAGACCAAAATTACGGCGCAATCGTATTTTAAAGATAAAATTTACTAGAAAATATGAAATTTTATGTAACGAAGTAGATTCAGGTAACAATAACAAGAAAGTACATAATATAAGAAAACTGCAACAATACCTGTAGGCTGAAGTTGACACTGTTTCCTCAACGAAAAGTGCGAACTCGGTTTACTTGCATTGTTACTACATAAGCCAAACAATTATTTTTCGTATCTACAGCTTCTTAAAAGAAGTTATTAGCGATTTCTACATATTTGCCCTTTGAGTAAACCATACGTTGATTCGTATCAAAGGTAGGACTAAGAAATCATTGGCATTCATATTTCTTAGGTAAGTATTTCTATACACTATTTATTGTTTTTGCTTATACCTATTTACCTTACAGACGTTTACTTAATTGTTTGTGGCAATTTCTTATAGTGATAGGGCACGAGTGTCATCGAGTTAACAGTAATGTACCGTTTCGTAGATGTGCCGTTTGAATCACTTTGATTAATTTATATTGTTAAATTGATTACAATGAGGACTGCAATAAAGCTTTTTGAACAAGGAAACGCCAAATCGTTTATTCGAATGTGTCATACTTTTGCAACCACCCCCTGAATGATTGCGAAGTTACAAACTAATGGAAGAACAATTTATTGCACTCAAGGACGTAATCTGGCGTCTAAACGTTTGCGAAACCAAACTCGCGAATGTATAACATTATTCAAAGTGCTTGAGACGACACTATCCTGATAATCAAAAAATGATTCCGTCCTTCCAACACCTAGGGTCTTACATCAACATATCCAAGTTTATTATAGGTGGGTATTGAATAAAATGCCAAAGCACTTACTATGTCTAAGATGTTACATTGGCAAATCTATAAAGCAGAATAACAAACTAATGTGTGTGTTTCTAAGGAGCAACTTGAAAAATATCGGCATTTGGATAACATCTAAATATAGTGATGGCATGCAAATCTATGTTTATAAGATATCTATTGGAACTGCTTCTTTGGCTTTAAGCCTCAAGATGTGGACATGGCGAACTGCATTTTACTGCGTTTTCTCTACTCAATACTACTTAGTTGAGCTCAACAATTTCTTTATGCTAGAATTGACTTAGCAGAATAAGTCTACAGTAGCATAAACGTTACTACAACATTGTGCCATTTATTTATTACAACCTAAAGCATCGTGTTTAGTTTCGATTCGTGCAAAACTCTTCCTCTATGACCACGCGTCCGGTTTTATATCAAAAATTCCTCGTTTATCCTCCGACTTCATACTTGCGTTGGACTGGTACCGGCAGACTTTTTATCTTTCTTCTTGTATAAAAAAGGTTCAATTGTGCATTTGGGCCCTTCGTCGGGACTGTACGTCCACTTAACCTTCTCCTTAGTCGGCTTTTCGTCGGGTGTTTTTACTTTACGAGTTTTTACAAACTCGCTCACCCTTTGTCACTGAATCTCGCAGAATGGCAGCTTCTGCGCTTCTTTCCCTTCAACTTCGGCGGTACTCAGCTCCTCTTCCTTGGGACTTTCGGCGTTGCTAGTGCCTCCCTGGCCACCACTGCAAAGCGCACTAAATTTTATTATTATAGTCAAGCATATAAAGCGACTGAAAGGCGTTTGCCATTCTGCTTTTGTGTGCAAATGTAAATGTATGTGGATGTAGTTTAGTCCAAGGTAAGTCGTGTGTGATTCTTACCTTTAAATGCCCATTAACTCTAATTATAGCCACAGTTTCCTCTTGATATTGAGTAAGGCAACACGACTTAGTCTGAACTATAAAGCATTGCAATCACGGAATTAATACTCTACGATTGTGAAAAGCGCATCGACAATTTAAGAAACAAAGCTGAAAGCGATTAGACGAATATGAGGGTGAACAAGAGAATATTACAAAAGGAGACTCGGTTGTCTAAATGCGTGCCGATAGATTTATTTGCGAGGGAAATGTGGTAGCGATGTCAGCGGTATGATTGGCTATATAAACGATTGCACATGAAAGTTAGGTAACAATCATGTGCTCTTTATGAACTGCATCCCATCTGAAAGAACGGTGGGCCAAACGGAATTATCGAATTTTATGCGTAGGTGCACCAAGATTTTAATTATTAACGAGCTCCTAGTGAGTTCATAATTTTGCGGTGTCTGTCCGTTAGCACGATATTTCGAAAGCGAATGGACCGATTATGATGAAATTTTTCTGTATCAAATTTGTAGATCAGAGTTCGAGAAAAAGAAAAGCCGTTTTGACACCACTGTTAGTCATGAACCGAATTACATGAAATTCAAAAAGGGCATAGCTTTACCCATATAATATGCAATGCCACGCAATAGCCATATCCAGAAGCTCGTTGGATATAGTATGTTTAATTTTTATAATACCTAAGGCATCTTAGGGATATTTTCCATCATTTCCTTTATTCTTAACATTCGCTACTATTACGAAGGGCACAGAGTTGGTCGTATACACCTCTTTGTAATAGAAGTATCCAATTTGTTTTTAGTAATTGCATAACGTTATATAGGGTAAAAAATGTGTATAGAACACTGAATATATCTTCAAAACAACGTGTTTTTTATGGTATCCAAAATTATAAAAAGTTTGCTTCTAAATACTTTAATTTTATGGTCAGTGGCGTACTTCTGCATGGTCAAGGGGGGTTTATTTTTTTAATGGCAACGACTAGTTTTCCTTACATATTCCTAAAGAATATACTTTTTTGGTTATAGTAGCATAAAAAACTTAATTTGATATTTTCTCTTAAATTTAATTATGACGTAATCTGAAAAAAATAAGAGTATGTAAAGAAAACTAGTGTTTGACATTTAAAAAAATTAGCACAAATTTAATGGACGTAGATGGGTAGCAACCTTTTTATAATTTTGAATACCAGCAGGAGTACCTCAAGGTTCAATATTGGGTCCACTCCCTTTTATACTATATACGTTCAAATTTAAAAATTGCTTAAAAACGTGTGGTATCAATATCCTTGCAGATGACACACAACTTTTACATCCTTTCAAAGTTAAAAATTACTTATAAAAAAATCAGAAAGATCTAGATGACGTTTGTACGTTCTCGGCAGAGAATTTGGTCATTAATGGTGCTAAATCAAAAGTGTTATTTTTTATAGATCAAATTACGGCCTTAGCGAACTTTAAAATAAATGATGCAGTTATCCCAATGGTTACGGAAACACGAAATCTAGGACTAATAATGGATAATTCCTTCAAATACAAAATTTATGTAACTAATTGCAATGAAGGAGCATTATATGAACCTGAAACTCTTCTATCCCCACAGACACTTCCCAATGTCCATGAACCTAGCAGAGCAAGGTCAGCAGAACACAATCAAACATATTGCATATTTAGGTGCTAATTAGGTGCTAATTAAGTGCCCTATTCCCGAATTAAGTGGTCCTTTTTTTTAATTATTAGGTACATGTTTTACCAGGTTCATATGAACTCAGCAGAACACTACCTCAAAAAACCAATAAAATGAAAAGTGAACTAACTATAATTAGGTGCTAATTAAGTGCTCCATCCCCGAATGATATGGTCCTTTTTTTAAATTATTACATGTTCTGCCAAGTTCATATGAACTCAGCAGAACATTACTTTAAAACCAAAGAAAATGAAAAGTGAACTAACTATAATTAGGTGCTAATTAAGTGTCCTATTCGCGAATTAAATGCTGCTTTTTTTTTAAATTATGAACCTGCCAGAACATGTAATAATTAGCACCTAATTAGCACCTAATTATAGGTAGTTAACTTTTCATTATCTTGCGTTTTTAAGGTAGTGCTCTGATGAGTTCATATGTACCTGGAAGTACATGTCATAATTTAAAAAAAGGAGCATTTCATTCGGGAATAATTAGCACCTAATCAGCACCTAATTATAATTAGTTCACTTTTCATTTTCTTGGGTTTTTAAGGTAGTGCTCTGCTGAGTTCATATGAACCTGGCAGAACATGTGATAATTTAAAAAAAGGAGCATTTAATTCGGGAATAGGGCACTTAATTAGCACCTAATTAGCACCTAATTATGCAATATGTTTGATTGTATTCTGCTGAACTTGCTCTGCTAGGTTATTGGTAATCACTTCCTACCCATCCATATTAAGGTAATGCTTTGTGATATCACACTACAACTACTGTTCACGAGTTAACGGTTCTGCTACCACCTACCACGAAGGAATTCGCCAACAAGGTACAAAATGGGCGTTTAAAATAATACATTCATTTAATTAGAAATTATGACTGAATTTCATACAAGGTTCGAGATACAAAGAGAGAAACTAAAATTTAGAAGGGGTGCTCATACACTAATTTACGTTTCCAAGGATTGATTACTCCACCTCCCCCTAAGACCCCTTTGTTTCAGAAATCACTGTCATAGCAAAGCTTCCAAAGTGTATAATAATGTTCCAGTTGCCTTTAAACTGTAACCCGTTTGATTATTTAAAGTGAAAATGCGACAAAATCTGTTTAATGTTCAACATAATTTATTGATTTAGTATTTGTTGCGATGTTCTTGTTCTTTTTAGCGCACTGTTAGAAGACCCCCCGGTTCTAGTTTATTCCCCAAAATGTTTAGAGCCTTTAGCACTTAACCGTAATGTTAGGAGAATCTTGAGGGAGACACATTTTGAGGGTGTACGTACCATCGGGAGGTCTGGGGGATGGGGAATACTGAAGATCTTTATGATAGTTGTTGAGAAATTCGAATCTTCCCTTATTTCTTGGGGGGTATTCCATACCCCCTAGACCCCCCCGGTTCTAGATTCTTCTCCAAAATGTGTAGAGTCTTTAGCATTCACCCTGTAATTTTAGGAAAATCTTAAGGGATACACGTTTTGAAGGTGAAACTACCACCGGGGGGTCTACGGGATATGGAATAATAAACATGTTTATGATAGTTGTTGAGAAATGAAAAAAGAATCTTTGCTTTTTTTCCAGTGAGGTATTCCATACCTCCTAGACCCCCCCCCCCTCCCCGTTCTCGATTCATCCCCAAAACGTTTGGAGGCTTAACCATCGGGGGGTCTGGGGAATAATGAAGATCTGTATGATAGTTGTTGAGAAATGAAAACCGAATCTTTCCTTTTTTCCTGGAGGGAACATACCCCCTAGACTCCTCGATTCTATATTTAAAATTTTAGGGAAGTTTCTTATCATTACTAATAAATGATATTATGAAGAATTCTACATCTCGCATGATTTTTTTGAGTAAACTATTTGCATTATGATGTGCAAAAGCCCCCTTCGTTCCTTCCGGGCAATACAAGTTTCGTCCTGCCAGGAGCTGTTTAGTTATTGATCAATTTACCTGTTCTTGTTTTTTAATTGCATCTCAAAAAATTACCATTTTGTTCCGATACATTTTACTTGATTAGCCCGGATTTGAATAGTTAGGGAGAAACGAAAAGGGCAAAATACAGCTATTAAGTATGTAACAAAAATTCTTTCAAATAAACCAAGGGTCCAAAGTTTGAGTTTCATATACAGTGCTATTTATTAAGAAGTAGACATAGGGATTTACGTACATATATTGTTTTTCTCTATGTCTACTTTTAAATTACAAAATAGGGGGTGAAATTTGATGCACGCGTAGTTTGCGTAATTAATGGTCTAGCGAAAAGTATAGTGTCCGTGTGCTACATACTTAAATAAGGGCGAACTCCGAAATTCTTGAGGTATCCTAAGATGCCTTAAATATGCCACTGTGTGGACCACTTTTTGCGAATCGTTCTGTACATTTGCCTCGCTCCAAATAATCCCTCGGTAAATGAACAGTGTAAATTGGTGTAAAAAGCTTGTTTGTGCAAAAAGGGTTTCAACAAATAACGTATACAGATACCTGATAGAACCAGGGGGGCACATTGATTGTCATCTAAGCGCTAAGGTTGACACCATTGGCGGTCTCGTTGGTTTATTCTCTAAAATTCGTTCAATTTCCGCTACCATATTTGTATTTAACTTTGGAATGAGCTTAAAAGAGAACGTAAGAGAAGCGCTACAAGTTGTTATACATACCTGGAGTGATTGGATATTATCGTAAAGTTGATCGGTTGAAGTAGCACCTAATAATAAGCATTGTACGGATTCGTTCTTTAGACACCAGGCTATCGATAATTGCGCTAAAGTACAGCCTAAACGTTCGGATAAGGCATTCAATTCTCTTATTTTTTCTGATTGTTTTCGTGTTTCTTCAGGTTGGACCTTTTCCTTCACCCACGTAAATCCCTACGAAATAATACACGTACTGAAATCAATTTAAGACTGATACCAATGTACCTCCTTATTTGCTGATGTTTCGTCTTCAGTCCACGAAAAGGAGCGATACTTACTTCTAAAGCTATATCGAGAAAATAACTGCACGCCTCCGTCCTCCTTTCCCTGCGCCAATCCCATAGTGATAGGAGACCAAGCCATCAGACCTACATCAAACCAAATACAAAACGATTACAGTAAAGTACATGGACAATTACCAACTCCTATTTTGTTATACAACTCTGGAATGTACAATTCAGTTTTCTCTCTACAAAACATGTGGTACTCAGCCTGCTCTACGATTGGCGTAATGCAATTGAATTGCCTCGAATTGGTGTATGCTTCCATAATTTCAACGGGCGACCACCTGGCAGTGCCCCAGTACATTGCCCAACCTTGCGATATCACGTAGTGCATCGCACGAACTATTTCTGTTAGAAAATTAATCATACATACATACACGAGAAATAATGAGATTTTGCTAACCTTCCATTGGACACATTGGATCGGCCTTATGCACAATCACCACGTCGATGTAAGCCAATTGTAAACGACCCAAGCTCGCCTTTACACTTTCAATTATGTGTTTGCGCGAGAGTCCGCGTTCTTCAGATCTAGACGATGTTCTAAGATTTATTTAGGTACTTATGTTAGAACATAAAGCTTTCGTACCTGGTACTCCAATATATTTTGGTGTTCACCACGAAACTCGAACGCTTCCAGCCTTTCCTGATCAAAATACGACCCAATTCAACTTCCGCTCTCGTTCCTAAAAAAGTGTCAGCAGGTTACCGGTATCCACAAAATGATATACCAGAGTGCGCTTCCGACAAGTCAAATACATTTATGCCACTATCCATCGCAAGTGATACAATCTGCTCGGCTTGCTCTTCCGTCACCCCCGGTCCGAAGATCGGCCATGTTCCTAGAAAACAATTACTTCTTTGGCACCGAACAAGCAAGTCGCTCACCTAGTCCAATGTTGGAAACTCGCAGCCCGCTTTTCCCAAGGTTTCGATACCGTAAACCCGGAGTTAGGGAGGTCTGTCTTGAGAGCTGATATGGATTTCCTGGTGCTGAGTGAGTTAAACCGCTAAGCAGCAATTGCTCCTTGGTGATGACGCCATCGCTTCCACGTTCGCCTAATGCGCTCAGTGCACTACCGGCGCTAAATTCTTCCATGCAATCGAGACTTGCTATCGGGGCTCTGCACCTGATAACATTTCAGCAATCAGTTTAATAAAATGAGGGCTCAATTAACTAGTTAGTTTGAAAAGTTTGTGAACCATATTGTATTACATGTAACTTCTTATCTAGTTCTTGTGCTGTGTATTTGGTACACAATAATACAAGGTAATATATTGTTATGAAAAACTTGAAGTTTTACAAACTAATATTTTAACCATAGGTAGGTAATGGATGTTTGCTTTTTATTAGCTGTGAAATAATAAACTTCTACGTGCTGTCCACATTTCCCATGCAAATAAAGACTAACTGGTAATGCAAAGTCACTGAGTGCAAGACCAGTACTTACAAATTTATTTACGTTTCAAATACAAATGTTTCCAACCCGCACGAACATATAACATTATGTAAGTATTTGAAGTTATAATTGCCCAGCTCTGAAACGTTTCTGTGACAATACATAAACATGACATTCGTGTTTGATAGTGTAATGTAGGCACAAATTGCTCCCAAGCGTCGATAGCAATTACTATATACTGACAGTCGAGTCAGAAAGAGAGAGTTAACATTAAATAAAGATTATCGATATGTGTATAAATATAATGTAGATTTAGGTGACGGTCTTTCACAACAAAGAGAGGTAAACATGAAATTAATCTTTGAGGTCGAACGAGAATCTTTTAGTTGATGTTGATTAATGTTAATTCGGCGCAGTCATACAGAGGGTTTATAGTAAATTAGCTCCCTATGAAGGAGATCTTAAGAGCTAAAATATTGATTACAGGGATGATGAGGGCAGAGAGATTAATTAAATTCTCTCTAAGTATCGCATCATTACTTGATTACGGTAAAGTTACTGCGAGCTATTAGTAGTGCTCTATAATGCAATAATGCATCTACGAGATGAAATAGGAGTTTATATCGACAAAAACTAAACTAAAACTTTATAAGGGATAAAGCGAGCTCAGATGCCTCGCCCATACCGGGCGGCAATAAACGAGAATATGAGAAAAAATGGGACATTGAAGGCACATAATGAAATATGAGGAGAACAGCACCTAAAATCAAAACAAAAGGAATAGAGACTTTTCATGCTAAGATGCTCATTTTTAGTTGCAATATGTATAGTGAAATTAAGATGTAGTTAGAATAGTTAAAAAAAAACACCCCACAGGAAATTATTTATATAATATATCATATTGAAGAGGAGTACCTCAAACCAGATTTGTACATGCGTAGGAAAAAAGATAGGATTACCTTTAAATCTTTTGGCAAATAAATATACACTGCATTCGAGAATCTTTCGGTGCAACTTCCGGTCTAACTGGAAATCGATGCAACATGTTTTTCAAGTGCAATGATGTATAAATATTTGAAAAGAGTGATTAATTTGCATTGAACTATCTATACAGGGTCATTCTTGTCGAGCGTCAGTTAGAAAGATATGGAGAACCTTTGAAAATGAAACTAAACTGATAAGTCCTTTAAAAGTTTTGGCACATGATGAATTGAACTAAAATATGTTCAAGATGGCGCCACTTCCGCAAATACCGGAAGTAGTCATCAATTTTGCTATTTTAAATAGGGACCCTATTTTTTCTACATTTTCAGATTCTACGTCGAATTTGGAGTACAACGATACCCTTTGCTCCACGGTCTTCGTTGATATTCAAGTTTTTATGTCAAAAATTGAATTTGCAGGGGTAATATTAAAAATTTATTATTCGAAAACGGTGAGAGATATTGCAACACAGTTTTCACTGCTTTATTAAGGAAAGATCGAATTTTCTTATGGTAGCCGTAACCGTCTAAAAAAGCGAGACTACGTGACTTTTTCAAAGCTCTTAACTTTTAAATTTTTAAATATCCGTAACACCATTCTTTCAAATGGCACTCCCCATGTTTTTCTTCATTGTTGTTTTCCTTTTTCCGAGGCCTTTAATTTGATACAAAATGTCAAAGGCTGCTTCAAACGGTCTCTACATGTCTCTACACGCAATAATTTAAGCTCTACTTTTTTAGCATTGGCACTTACAATAAAATTAATAAAATGAAATAGCGATACGGAAGTATCTAATAAAGCTACAGGGTGTCCCATTTTCGACACTTAGAGGGTATCTCCCTAATTGTTAGCAAAAAAGTAATATAGGCGTAATGCGCTCTTTTTGGGCCAAAACAAAAAATGGTAAAATGGAAAAAAATCAAAATATTGTCAATTTCAGAATGACCGTATATTTTCTTAGTTTAAAGAGACATAGGAGAATGTTTATTCCAAAGTTTCTTTATAATGATTGTTAAAAATATATCCAAAGTAAAACAAAAACACCAATAAACCTCAATCATGTATTAAAACCTCGAACAACTAAACACCAAAAGTAGTTCCAGTGCTTCCAGTTAAAAATATATATTACATATACATATATTTTTAAATGGAACACCCTATACATTTTAATCTAAACAGACAGCATATTAAAATATATTTTCAAAAAGAAGAATTTATATGCTATCTTTAGATTAAAATATATAAAATGTTCTATTAAAAAAATGAGATTAGATCCGATAATTGTTTTACCTGATGAATTTTGATTTTAAGACTCAAAAAGAACACATAACGCCTTTTTTGATAGAACTGACAAATACAAAGATACCTATAAACGCATCGAGACACCTTGTACATTGTAGTGCAATTTCAACGGTATAATTTAGCCCTCTAATATTTTTAAAGGAATAGTGAATGATAATGTTTCCAGTTTCTAAAGAACCCAACAAAAGGTGAAACGGGTCACAATAGAACATGTCCCTTTTTGAAAATATCAGTTGGCGTAACAAACTTTTGTGGAGCCTTTACTAGAAAATTTTTTCATCACAGTAAAGTAGCCAAACTTGGAAGAAAAATATAAACTAAGTACAACCTCGATAATCCGAATACACGCTAGTCGGAAATCGCGATAATCCGAAAGATTTATGTGTACATAATTGTGTATGTACATACTGTACCCATAATTACATATGAATAATAATAATAATAATAATATAATAATATATATTTGCCCAACAGATACATAAAAGATCCAATTAGAGGACAAATGGAAAAAGTTAAACTTTAATAATTCAATGAATGTTAACTTAAGCTTTTTTACAAGGACAATGTTTAATTTTGTTTTACGTGCAGTATTTAACTGACTTCTGTCTTTGGTCTGTTAAATTTATGTTTTGTTGAAAAGAATAAAGTTTATTTCTTAATGCTTGTGTCCAAATTTATTATTTTTACTAGTTTCGCGATAATCCGAAAATTTGATAATCCGAAAGGTCGGTGGTCTGAATCTATTCGGATTAACGAGGTTGTACTGTAGAAAGAAAACCAATATTATAATTAGGAGAATATTAACGGCGAATATATCTCCAATGTCGCAATACTGCTCCCTTCAATCATCCACTAAATCCAGAGTCCAACATTATAAAAAGTTTGCTGCCAATCTACATATTTTAAATTTAAGGCCAGTGGCGTACTTCTCCACGGCTAAGGGGGGCATATCTTTTAATAGCAACTAGATACTAGTTTTCATTATATATTATTAAAGAGTACGCTTTCTTTGATATAGATAGCGCCATACAAAACTAATTATATTATATAAGTTATTAAATTTAAAAGAAAAACTCAACTTAAGAAAAAAAATAGTTGTGTTTATTTTTTAATTTTATTAGTTTGGGTTGAAAAAACGTTATTATTTTGTTAGTTATGTCAAAGCAATTTATTGTATAAAAAATCATTCAAAATTTTTAAGTAAATCTACTTTCTTAAAAATTATTTTCAGTGGCCTGCATCTACGGAACCAAGAGAGTAACTTTTTTAACGGAAAACACTATCTTGCGTGAGGTATTATTAAAGAATGAATATTTTTAATACGACAACAAAAAACATGATCAAACCACTCAATTATGAAAATAATTAACAGAATTATTCTCCTTTGAATTTGTCTCTTACATTTAATTATGAGAGAGAAACTTTATTTAGTAAATAAATGTCTGCTTGTTTTGAATCGACTTTCGAGACGTTTTGTTACTGTACCACAAGAACCGATGTAAAGGCCGTGAACAGAAATGTCTAGATTGTATCGAGTTTTGAGGTCGTCAGCGATACACGGTTCGTATATATTCTTCTTCTCGGTGTCAACAGCATCGAACTGTTCGATTCCCTTGCCGCTTTCAATTCGAATTGTTGGGTCAAGCAATAGAACTGCTTGATTTTTTTGATTGACCGCCATCAGGATGTCGAGGCGTCGCTTAGAACTGTGACTGCAGTGCAACTGATTTCTTCGTGTACTGTTTAACCTTTTGTCACGGAACTTGTCGCCAATTATTGACCGAACTTTGTTGTGACTGTTGTTTATAATAATATATATTGCTCTGTAAACGACCGACGTCGGGTTGGACGTTCAGTTGTGGATCTTAGGCATTTGAAATGTATCAGGGTGGTTTAATTAATTAATCAAAATTTCATTACAATTCCATTCTAATCAATTTCGTGGGATTATTTACGAAAAAACACAAAACGATTTCGCGAATTTAGCCTGTTAGCTTGTTTTTTTACTTTACTGTAAAAGAAAGAGTATTTCCTAGAAGTAATAAGGATAAGAAAGTGTCATTGGTGGTTAACGCTGCTTTTCATTGAAGTTATTTACGTAATTCGGGTAGCCATTCGAATCATCGGTGGTGTATTTTTGTGTGCAGCCATATGCTACAATCAACGTCTATTCAACTTGTTTGGGGAATTCTAATTGAGAAGACCAAGTTTTTTTTGTGCGTCACGTTCGTATTGTTTCCGGTAGTAATTGGTGTTGTACGGGATATTGTTCCTCGAAAAACTGTAAATTAATAAGATTCGGGGGTTGTTTTTTCACTAGGATTTCATGTTTTATTTAATTCGTGGTCGTTGAATAAATTTTATTATTGTTGATGCAAGTCTTGTATTCCCTCGATCCCTTTAATGAGGAAGAGAAATGTCTCATGTTCAATTCCGTTTAATTTTGTCCAAAGCTCAGTTTAAGTGCTTTCAAAATTTGGTACTTAAATTGAATTGAATTATTTTGTTGTGCCGGGGTACGTGTGGATGTGTACTGAGAGAAATTTCATTAATGAGCTAGTTAGGTTTCAGAAGTGTTATACTTGGCTCGAAGTTAAAGAGTCACAGAAGTGTCACAGCAATGTATACAATAAATGTCACGTCATGTCATCAATGTTGCTTCTGAACTTTTATTTTTTATTTTGGACAATTTATTTTTTCGTTTAATTACATTTTTAATTGATAAAACGTAAAAAACACACTAATGTTCTAATGGAATACTAAAATAATCTACTAATTAGTCTTCCTATCGAAACCGAAACGCGGCGTTGTATAGTCTAATGCTGAAACGTTAAAGCGTTCGGGAACTCTTCAAGAAAGGCCGAACTGTTCTTATTCATAAATCAGGTTCTGATGATGACCCAAATAATTTTTGCCTGATGACAAACTGTTCCCTTCTTCGCCGAGTTTTCGAAAGAATTATTGACCGAAAATTAGGTGAGTATGTTGGATTTTCGAGTCAGCAGAATTTAAAGTACATAAATTGGTAACAAACTTTTTCCAATTTTGAATACCATAAAAAGCTTCTTTAAAATACTATTCGTATTCTGGGTTAGTTTCTGGGCCTTGAAAATATCTTTATCAGCCGTCGATGAAGGCGCCGCCGCCGCCGGTATAACAAAAATCTATTTCTTATACAAACCCCTCGCCATATCCAGAGTAGTCTCTGGTATGGAAGCCTCCTAAATGTATTACTCTCAACAAAGCGTCCATAAGCGGTTCTAGAGCACTAGACCCAGGACCGTTTGTATAACAAAGGATTAAAATAGTTCTCAATTCCACAAGAAATACATATTTCCAGTTGGGACGAATATCTGGAAAAATAATTATGTTTTTGTAATTCTGTTCAATCAACATTAAAAGAAATGGTTCTATTTATATACTTGATACTACTTTCAGTGGACATAAACTGAGTGGAATTATATTTATTGGATGACCCCATAACCTATGACCTATAACTATAACAAACTAGATGAGTGTCCAGTATACCAATTTCAACGAAATCGGTGAAAGTATCTCATGTACTCAAACGTATGGACGAACAGAAAATCAAAAAAATACTATAATAAATAAGCTAATGAAATGAAAATAAAAAAGGAGGTCCACTGGAAAAGTTAAGTTAACATACCCAAAAAAGACCCTCAGGGTGCGTGATAAAATATAAAAATAAATAAATAAAATATAAAATATTAAAGCTAGATTTTCTGTATATTCGCTTATGTACACGGTGGTTCATATTCGTGACTCACTATTGGGATCTTTGTAACAGTGCGAGATACAGTGTAGGTTAAACGGGGGCAAAGTTGTTCCTCTTTGTTACTCAAAAACGCAGTTGAAGTTTTGGAAAAATCTTTGAAAATAAGATATCACCGTAAAATTGTAAATGTCACATTTCGTTTCCAGTTTTCCTAGCTTTAACGGTTGGAAATGGAGGGTTCCCATTAGGAACTTCTATGGGCGCTTTTTCGTAGAATCTGAATGTGTTATAAGAATTTCCATAACACGCTAGATCTAGAAGAAGATAGAGGATTGTTGATTCAGCAAAATCTACCCATGGATGTTGAGAAATGAATCTAAAAAATTTAATTTTGAAATTTTTCTTGTAAGTTTGTGTAAAAGTATGACGTGTGACACGTCGTATTTTTCTTTTTGTGTTATCTATCTCATTTCGTAAAAATCCAATATGGCGCTCATAAGAAATAAGAAAGTAGTACTCCGTAGCTTCCACACTTAGCGTGTTATGAAAATTCTAAGAAAGGAATCAGATTCTCCAAGAAAAGTGTCTATAGAAGGTGTTAACGGGAACCGTCCATGTTCAACCGTTAAAGATAGGGGTCTTTAATTCATGAGATTATTCCTTATTTTAGTATTATTTCACGCACATGCATGTTATCTTTTGCCAAATGGTTGCGGGGGAGGGGGATTTTTTAATCTGAGGGGGTTGCTCCTTGAGATTGTGTGTGTGGAGAAGAACACACCTTAGGGGGAGGCCCCCAAGCTTTAAAGCTCAAGGGTCTGCGTAAAATCAACTTGGCGTTGACTGCTTTTAAACAAGCTGCCTAGTGTTTTTTTAATTGGACAAAATAAAAAAATTAATTTTTGACATATCCCATAACTGTCGCTTAAGTTTCGTAAAGTTAAACGTTTAGCTAATAAATTGGTCCATTAAATCTAATGCCTCCTTTTTGACTGACTGATTTTTATCGCCACTTGATTTGCCAATAAATAAAATCATGAAGGCTCCATAAATAATAAATAGCGAAATTCTTGGCACGTCAGCTTCGAAGAAATAAAAAGGCACCACAAGTATGTTTTAACACCGGACACAATATACAAAGAAAGTGCTTTATACTGGAACGAAAGCTGTTTCTCTATACAACTCAAGTGTACAATTTTTAATAAGTTGAAACTCGTATAAAGGGTGTATATTTACCGATAAATTGTGGGAAGCTGGTTGGAATCTTCGCTTGTGTTGTCGTTGTTATTGTTGTCATTATTGGAAATATTGCATAGTACCACTTGTGACATTTTAGCCCGTTTTTAATACTATAATAATCGCTAGTTGCTTTATCTAATTTTTAAAGCTTTTTGCACGAGTTTAACGTAATTGTGTGATGAGCATATACTAAGCTTATGTATAGGCACTAAAAGTGTTTTAAGGCAAATATTATGAGTTTTTTAAAATCACATGTGCTCATCTCTACTTTTACGCGAGCCTTTATATTGATCTGTTTTATAATAATTTAACAACAGCTACTGAATGGCAATATTTTGAAGTGATCTCATTATACCTTTATAATACAATAACTTTTTGGCACAAGTTCAAATCTAGGAAAAAGCTAAATAATTTATTCACTTGCAGGTCGATACTTGAGCGCGTGTAGAAAAAACCGTTAACTTACGTGAAAATCAAACAAATTGCAAAAACAATAGTTTATTAGACGGCTACCCGTATTAATTTAATGTAACACACATGCACTTCCTTCCATAAAAATCCTTTAATTGAATTTAACCTCAAACCATTCCGTATTATTGCCTTTAATTGTCTTGCTTTACACTATGACTTAATTGTAATTATTGACGAGTTAAATGATTAGATAACGTGGTTTTATTGACTAAACGTATTGCTAATTTTTACTACCAACAATTAAAATCGTAACAAATGATTATTATTACACCCATCCAAAGCGAACTTATTTTAAAATTAAATTTTATATGTACTCGTTGAAAAACTGTATCACGTTAACGAAAATTATACCAAAGATTACATGATTAACAACATTGCAACAATAAAAATAACCTGGTGCAGGGCCGTCGCGGCGCTCACCGTCCTTACGTCATTGCAGTGCCTCGATAAACTCCGACGGTTTCCGACGTGAAACGAATCCGGGACGCGTATTGCAGAATTATTTTGATTCAATTCTAATGTTTATAATTATATACGCTAATGACTTATTTAATTGATAACTCGATCGCCTGGTATCACCT